TAAATCCCGTAATTATTTCGCGGCTGAAACTCACCAGCTAACTTCAATTAAACATTGAACTGACAAAAGTAACAAATCTTTATGAAAATAACCAACTTTTGATTGGGAATTTTTGATTATTATAATTATCATGTGAGCTTATTGCAGAACAGACCAAAATAGCAGCATACTACTAATATCAACTTTTTAATCAAACCAGTGCGTCTCGCCAATTTTGAAATAGTAGATAATAATTCAGAAACACAATTAGTAACTGATCACTAATCACAGTGATTGCTGATGGTGGGGTTTTCCTGTGCGTAGCACGGGTTTCCTGCTAGTAAAATAATAAATAAAAATAAACTGACTACGTCTTTTAGTTTCTTTCCGAAACATGAGAAACGTTGCATAGAAGATAACACGATTTCACTACTTTTGTCAATAGAAATCTGCAAAACGCTGGTGACAGTTATTTTAGTATTTGGCATGTCCACTCGAACACTCTAGAAGCTAATAAAGATATAAATACGCGATGTATATCCCAAAAATTGTTTCTGGAGGACGCACTCAGATGCAGACGAAACTAAAAACTCAGAAAGAAAGAAAATATTGCATAAAATAACACACCACGAAATCAAAATCACTGTTTAAATATCAAAACAGAAATACTCAACATAGTTCGCATCATTAAGAAACGGTTACAGATAGGAGATTCTTCTATGGAGGATTACGTGCTCTACCCCAAACACAGTTTTGTCGAGAGCTTGAGAAGTGAAATCGTGCGATATGGATATCTGAACATGTTGTTCATTTGGCGATAAAAATAGGGAATCGGTTGTTACAAAATATTTGTTTATCATCAACAGTTAGCTTCGGCATACAAGGGGTTTTTGTTGTCCAACGAATACAACAGACCTTTTGACACGGCGCACAGTGGATCGAGTGAATAGGAGAGGTCGGCCAAAATTTGAAAACTTTAAAAGCTCATGACTCCGTTTTTACAAAATTTTGAGGTCTTAAAAATGGCCATTTTGGTTATCTCATGAAATTTTCCTTGAGAATCACCCCCATTAAATTTTAAATTTTGACGAAATAAGCATCTGAATTTGCAATTTTAGTGAAACAATCCATGTCTGACCTCTCCCATTGATTCGTTCCATTGTGCGGCGCACATTAAAACAAGCCAAAAAAGAGGTGTCGTGCTTTTAATTTGTGACGAACACTGCTAATTTTGTTGTTCAGTTTGTCTCAATTTAAACTTTAAGGTATGCCGCGGAAATGAAATTTCATAGAGAACCAATGAAACCACTCTTATAGATATACGATTTATATCAACATGGAGATAAGCTTTTGGAGTTTTCCCACCATGTTTGCAATTGAAAACGATGACCCAATAGGATCTAATTGTAGCACATGCAGGATCAGCCCTCGTGGGCCATTTGAAGTAGGAAAAAAAAAATATTAAGATTTGTTCCAACAGCAAACCTCTGCGTTCAATATTAACAGTGATATCGCTCTTTGAAATTTCGGGGGTTTGACGTCATCCCCCGCTATGGTTTCTTCCACCTTGCTTTCATCAGTCGGCGTGACGCATATTTGCACTGGTTTTTCAAGGTAAAACTCGGATAAAAGCAAGGTGGAACAAACCAAGGGTGTCTCATCCACGGTGGATGATGTCATAAATCGACTTTTTCAAAGCGCGGTATCTCGGTTAACATTCAACGCTGAAAGTTGCTATTTGGACGAATCTGATTATTTTTAGCTAATCTACAACAATCAAGCATCAAAGCACGATTCTGTGACCAGCACAATGGACCCATTGTATGTCTCAGTTTGGGTAAAGAGTAGTGCAAAACTGCGATAGAAAATACCGTAAATCAAGCTCCTTTTATTTTTCCCCCAAAATTTTTACATAAATACGTTATTACGACTCTGCCAATAGAGAAAAATCCGTAGAGACTAATGAAACATGAAAATAAGATCACTGATGTAATGTCCAGGCAGAGGAATTCGAAGAGACTCGAATCAGCGATGGCTGGTCTCAAATGAGATGCACCTCCATGACGAGCAACGTGCTCTATCCAGAAGACCGCTTTGTCCATGGCTTGAGAAGTGAAGTCACGGGATATGGCCGAAAGTCGTCGCATGTTCTCCAGATACCTAGGGAAAATTCAACAAAATTAAGACCAATGGAGATGTTGTATGTGTGAGGGATTTGCGATTTGACTGTTGTTTCTTGTGTAAAAGTTCGCGAGAAACACGATGGTGCCACTGGTGTTCTCTGAAATCAACTCCCAAGCTCAAAAAAAGCTCTCAAGTTGAGGCCAAAATGGAGGAGATATCCCATACTATCCTGAGAGTCCACCTCTACATCAAGACAAACTCTCCATGCAAAGATAGGGAGCAAATACATTAACAGGGTTGCCGTGTTTTCAGTTTTGGAGTCCCCTAATAAAGTGGCAGCCCTGTCAATGTATGTGCTCCCTATCTTTGCACGGAGAGTTTGTCTCGATGTAGACGTGGACTCTCAGGGTAGCGAGGGATATCCCCTCCATTTTGGCCTCAACTTGAGAGCTTTTTTTGAGCTTGGGAGTTGATTTCAGAGAAAACCAGAGGCACCATCGTGTTTCTCGCGAACTTTTACACCAGAATCAACAGTCAGATCGCAAATCCCTCACACATGCTATAACTCCAATGACTGATAGTGTAGTGATATCGTCACCTTTTGGCCAAAGTATCACAAACGCCATGCGACGTTTAAGGATTTCCGCCGCCATTTTATTTTTTCACAGAGAAATTTTTGGTTGAATCTGTTTGAAAATTTCATTAAAATATAATGGCAGCACAAAGAAAGTTCAGTGAAATTTTCGTACAACTTCGTTGAACAATTCTCTGTAGAAAATAGAATCGCGGCGGAAATTAAACGTCGCATGGCGCTAGTAATACTTACGCTGGAAGGTGACGATATTGTGTTGTGTGGTAAATCCAATTTTTCTCATTGTAGTTAAAACCTCATTTTCCATCATTCCTGCCACTCACTTCGATAGAAATGATTATACGTCCTCCGTTAAAAATACTAAAATTCTGTTTTTATGTTGAGGATGGGTCGAGTATATTGACTCTTAGCTTAAGCCGAATGAGATTTCCATTTAGAGCCAATTGAATCGCACTATGCAATTCCGAGCTACAATTCCGTCCCAGCTCTGGTTAGCAACATCGTATTTAACATTAATTGCCCTATGTGCATAAGCGTTTTATGGATGAGCCAGGTAATGTAGTTCTTAATTGCAAAATAGAGTCCAATCAAAGTTATTGGGAATCAATTACAGTCCTTTTAAAATCGATCAGAATCAGACGGAGCCAACAAATCGAAAAACAGTCAAAGTTAACTCGAAAGTAGAGTCAAAGTTAACTCTGTGTTATCTTCAGTATGGGAACGGAATTTTACTCTTCTTTTACAGGGGAATTTTTCCCCGCTTGAAGTACTAAAATATGTACGCTTACTTTTCATCGTGTAACATTGCTTCGATGCCTGCTTTAATTTTTTCAAAGGAGTGGATATCTTGCGGCGACAACTTGACTCCAACTTTCGCATCGACCATTTTGGCTGTTACACAATTTTGATCCACAAACCACGGGATTCCAACTGTGGGGACCCCGTAGTGTACTGCTTCTTGGAAACTCTGAAGCCCTCCCTGCGTAATGAATACTTTCACTTTCGGATGAGCTGCAACACAATAAAGCAGAAAATTGAATTAATCACATTCCTGGATTTTTGCTTAATTATCACAACATTTATTATGATGTGAAATAATGAATGCACATTGTTTTCCACAAAATGAGCATAATGTAAAATGACGACTTCTTGAATCGTCAGAGATTTTTTCTGATCGACAAATTGCATTATTTTTTATCGCACACACACGCTCCATCGAGAACGAATCGTGTCTGCCACACAGCAATTTGCGACTGTAAAATCAAGAAAATAGCAAATATATCGCAGCTCCCTAGTGGAAGTGAACCTCATGCGGCGGGAGGTCTGCAGGTGGTTAACCATCCGCGGCGGGGACTAACCTCCTGCAACCTCCTGCTAACCTCAAGCAACCTCCCGTCGCATGGGGTGAACACCCTGTTCCAGGAAAAAACCGAGTAACCTCCCGCGAACCTCATGCAGACCTCTCGCAAGGCCCTTGCTTGAGGTGATTAAGGCTTGCTAGAGGTCTGCATGAGGTTCGCGGGAGGTTGCTCGTATTGTTTCCTGGAATAGGGTGTCCACCTCATGCGACGGGAGGTTGCTTGAAGTTAGCAGGGCAGTCAGCAATCTCGGTCAATTTGCAAGTGTGAGGCGTGTTGTTTCGTCAAATTGCAATAATTCGTATTGACATAATTGATCCGCGCAAATCAGAAAGGATTCAAGCCACATTAGCCATTGCCAAATTTAATCGGGCAATTTAATTTTTTACATGAAAACGGTTGTGCAGATTTTTGTGAATTTTCTGCATATAGTACGGAGCGCATTCGGTTAAATCAGGCAAAAGCTGATAAAGCTTGGTTCTATTCTGCTGAACGCGGTCCAAATAAAGTACGGCCGCGGCTCGGAACGCCTTCAAATCCCGTCGATACTCACTGCCTTTCCAGGCAGCTAGTTTAGTTGCCTATCTGAACTGCCACTAATGTCACAACACTTACCCGCAAGTGTGCTAGTTGTTACCACTAGTTCAAAAAGAAAAGTACGGTTGTTCGAATTTCAAAAATAATGAGCAGTGCTTTTTTTCATTTACTTCGGAATGAACTCATCCTTTTATTCAGCACAAATAAATCATAACTGTCCAGAGATTGCTTTATTTACTCTGTTTCTAACCTTGTTAAGTAATTAATTGTGAAACAGTTGTAGGCCGGGGAAAAAATTCAAAAATAAAAAAATAAAAAAGAGACCTATCCAGGAAACGACTCCTAAGCCACTAGACGCGTCCTTTCACGGATCCTATTTACCCCTCTAAGATCTATTCTAATAACATTCGATCATTTCATGTGTTTCAAATAAATGCTGAACTTTTCAATGTAGCATCTTCACGCGTCTTCAAAATTTTGAGGTAAAAATTTAAAACCACTCTCACCAAGTACGCTATCTTGCGGCATCCACCTTTGGGTTAAAATGTTATCGGACTGTCCTGGAATCTCCCCGCCAGATTCCCATTTCCAGAGCACCCTGTAGCCAACCGGCAACTCTCGGAAGAATTTCAAGAAGTTTTTGAGCACGTCTTGTGGTAAAGATGTGCTTTTTAAATTACTTCCAAGACTGAAGTAGATCACTCCTTTCTCCGCCCCGTCCAACCAGTCTTGTAAATCCTTGTGAAAAAATTAATAAATGAAAAGCGTTTCCACAACATCTCGACGGTGAAAGTCGGCAATCACATAACTCGATTTGCGACGTCGCAGACTTCCTGTCATACTTTATTCTTTAAACGGAAAACTACTCAACGGTAATTCCTTAAAACTGCCGTGATTTTTCTTCTATGTGCGAGGAAAATTCTGCAAAAACTGCAAGGAATCATGTCCATTTGTTCTCCTTTAAAAAAATAACATAGTTGCGGAGATTTTCAGACACCGCAAACGAGTTATGTGATTGCCGACTTGCACCGTCGATATATTGTATATATCAACATAAACATAATCGACTAATCTGAAGGAGAGCCTATATACTTCTCCTCTGCCTAATTTTTCAAAGGGCCGGCGATAATTTCGTTTTTTTTTGCTGCTCTTAGCCTCATATGTTTCAATAAGAGTCATCAACCGGAACTTAAATGATTCTTTTCACCCCCACGAAATCGCGAGGACGAAAAATTTACTGGATAAGTGCCACTACGTTTGCTAATGTCTACTCTAAAACCTACACCGACCAATAAGTAGATTTGGTATCCTGCTATGCAAATTGGCTCCTCTATTTTTTTTTAAATCGGCCTTGAGAAAAATGCGTTCGATATCATTATCACTGGCTCCTATACGTATATTCACCAAAATTTGTCTAGTGTATTTTGCTGTAGAGTGAATACAAATACCATGAGAACTCTGATTTCTTATGCTATTCACCCAAAATTCGCACTAAAGAAATGTCTAGAAACCATTCTTTAATATTTAGACGAAATTTTGCCTGATTTGAGGAAAATTTCTCTCGAGTAAAGGTAATTTTCTCTAATTTAAAGAAGCGCCCAATTATTTGGATTATTTTTTCATAGAAATACAAAGCTTTTTTTCAATTCAAAGAAAAGTAACTTTTTCATCGATGAATTAATTAATTTCCTTTGAATAGAAAAAAAATAACACGAATTAAAAAAAAAATCTCACTATAAAAAAAGGGGAAAAATATTCAATCCGAAAAACTATTTTACTTCAAAAAATCTGCTTTAATCAAATCAGTATTATCTGCTTTTATCAATCAAGTATTTTAATTAACAGTCCTTTTCACGGCATCCTGGATAAGAGATTATATTTTTACATTTTACAACGTACAGCTCATCGGTAATTATATTAAAATGTTAATGAAGAAAGCTTACCTGTGGTAGCTGCTTCGGAGGTTTAATATGCAGAGGTCCGGTTTGAATAACATTTGGGCTCAAAAGCCTCGGATAGTAATACAACGAATTGGAGGTGAGCAGAGTAATGCTGACGTTTACCCACCAAAAATCCACCAGTCTCTCACCTCCCGAACCATAAATCTCCTGGAAAAATTGCTTCGCAGAATCCTCTACCGTTCTCCTTATGCTGGATTTGATGTAAGTATGGGAAAACCAGTTTTCAATCTTCTGCCATAAATTCATTTCATCCGTGTAATGACCAAAAGTAGAGGGTGAAAAAGACAGATGCATTTTACTGCCCAGAAAGTCTTCTCCGATGAGGTCCGAAGAAAATGATGATACGGCTATTATCGGGGCATTTGTAGCTAGGATGCTTGCTATTGGGGCCAGGTATGGAAGTAGATAAGATTGAACAATCACAACGTCGAATTTGATTTTTTCCGACTCCAGATGCCTAAAATTGGGAGTTAAGGAGATTAAACACTGATAAGCACTTAACTCATTTCAATTACCCTTCCTCCAAATAGCCGGAAAACTCCGAAAATATGTTGTTAACTACTGTAACTAACACAGTATCAACTTCCAAAAGTATCATTTTTTGGCATAATTGTCTAATCAAAATTAATATTAAAATAACATCATAATTAATATTGAAAAATCATTATAATTAAAATTAATATTTAAATATCATACTTGTGAAACACATTTTGTAACCTGCTAAAAACGTATTTTTAAAAATAATTGTAATAAATGAGACAAACAGATGAACAAATAAAAAATAATCTTTAGGATATGCAATGTGCCCCTAGACATGGTGCGATTAAAAGCATTCTAGTGTATGTTCCTGATTCAAATTTCACGTAGAACAGGATTTTGCACTTAAACTTACTGAACGTAACTCTCAACTAAGATCTTAAATCTTTTATTAGCATGGGTCACGAACAATATGAATTTCCCGTTCACCTGAAAAACCAGTGTCAATTGCGCTCTACAATGGTTTTTTTTCTCGATGAACAGTTTGTTTTTCCACCTTGTGTTGTCAAAAGTTTGAACAACGAGCAACAGCAACAGCTGAGCCGAATATTTCCATGACTGTTACAGTATCGTTTAGCGTGCGATTTAATTCAGGAAGATTATCGTAATTTGGGACGTGTGTGATATATTTAGTAGTACCCAAAATTGTGCAAGAAGTGCATTCAAGACATCTCTGGATATCGGGACTAGACACAGCCCACAGACTTATTACTCACGCTATAATTATTCACGCAGACCTTTTCACCTACAATTCTTGACATTCTTAGATTGGAAACACATTCGAAGGAAGTCTTGGAAACCCGTGCTCGCTTCTGATTGGTTCCGGATGACATGCTTCGATTCGGCGCAAAAACGGGGCGTTTTAAATTTGAGAAGTTGCGGTTTGAATACTGTGTATATCTCAGTTTCTGAATTACTTTTTCGGGTTTGCATGTGCGTATCGTGTTCTTCGCGCCATTTACCTCTAGAGTAGTGTATTTGCAAGTCAAAGTTCATTTATGGTTTTGTCGAGAGGCAATCATTGGATGTATCTCGTGTGTGCAAATGACCCATTCCATTGACTCGACCCCCAGTTCCCTCATATCGTCGCAAAGAGGATCGAGTCAATCAGAGAGGTGGGACATGAAATTTTTGACTAAAACTGCAAATTTTGGTTTTTATTTCGTCATACCTATTTTACATTTCAAGTGGTGCGAAAGGTCGAAAATTTCACGAGGAAACCAATGAAACCACTTTCAAGACCTCAAAGTTTTATATGAACGGAGTTATAAGCTTTTAAAGTTTCCAAATTTTGTCCAACTTCTCTCATTGACACGATCCATTGTGCGTCGTCTTGCTAACATACACTGAAATAAAATTCTCGGCGTTTTTACCAAGGTCCGTTGGTACCTTTACCATCTCACTTGTTTTACCAATTCGTGGTAATTATACCAAGACAGACTGGTAAGCTTACCTAAAAACCAGTATTTTTACTGTATTTTTCAGGTAAGAATACTTTTTCATTGGTGATCACTTCCCGGTAACTTTGCCATTTTATCTCAGTAATTCTACCACAGTCGATAAAAAACAGTGGCGTTTTTACCGAGGTCCAGTAAAATTGCCGAGAAAGTTCAATAATTTTACCGAGATTTCTTGGTAAATTTACCAATTTTATAAATGGTAATTTTACCAAGAAAAAACTGGGATCAAATAGAACCCTGATTTCCACCATTATTTCACCATTTTCTTAGTAAATACACCGAGATTTTTTTCAGTGTAGGGGCATACTCTCATTTCCACATGAGCCTTGCTACACATATGATTTCACGCTTTTTGAGACTCACGTGGAAATGGAAACGCGCCCTTAGAGGTGCAACTATATGCAAACACATATTTTTTTAGGGAAAATCCTTTGAGAATCAATGGTAGTCTTACTTTTGAAAGTGAAGGAATTCCCGGCTTCGAAGCTGGATCTGTATAAGTTTCATCATCGCCCTGGTCATTGTAGCTGTTTTCCATTTGGAAAGCTGCCGCTGATATTGGGGTACGCCATTTTTTTTGTCTTCGCGCTGACCATACGCGAAAGAGAGGTCTGCAAGAGTGTAGTTGACGTGATCCTTAAGATCCTGCAGTCGTAAGAACAATCGATATTTGAAATAAAATTAATCTAAGTCAACATTGACAAACCTAGGAAAAAAAGAACATGGGGTTGTTGGGTGAGATGCACATTTCAAATTAGTTGTGGTGGTACGCGCCCAGTAAATTAGGTTCTCGTCCAAAGTGTTGCGTTACTATCCCAATTTAAGTTGTGGTACTACCAAAGTTAACTGAAAATGTCCATATCATACAACAAATTGGGGTAGCACCACAATTTTAGTGGTTAGACCCCAACACTTTTTCCCCGTGTCTGATATTTACCAGACGGGAATTACAAGTTCTAACGAAACATCTTCGGCCGAAGATGAAGAATGAAGAAGATCCTCAAAGAAGAAACGCCGCACAAACCTTCAGAAATTTCCTAATTGGACGTATTTATGCTAAAAGGAGATATGTGGAAGTGGAAAGATGGGGTGTGCTCGTTAGTTGGGTCATAAGAAACAATGTAAAAGTGGATATAGCTCCTTTTGAGAAAATTGAGAAGCGGGATTTGACATTAAATCAAAAGGAGCTAAGCGCCAAAATACGCTAACTCATGAGCCGCGGGCATGGGAAGAGAGCGTTGTGGACAGGGCTCACGAGTTACAGCGCCCCGACGACCATCTCCCCGCCGTTAGAGTGCGCACTCACTGCCGCTGACGTCACTGGCGCACAATATTCCCCATTCATTCTTATGGCCCGACCACTAACGAGCACACCCCATCTTTCCACTTCCACATATCTCCTTTTCGCATATATACGTCCAACTCATGAGCCGCGGGCATGGCAAGAGAGCGTTGTGGACAGGGCTCACGAGTTACAGCGCCCCGACGACCATCTCCCCGCCGTTAGAGTGCGCACTCACTGCCGCTGACGTCACTGGCGCACAATATTCCCCATTCATTCTTATGGCCCGACCACTAACGAGCACACCCCATCTTTCCACTTCCACATATCTCCTTTTCGCATAAATACGTCCAATTTCCCTCGTTAAAACAGAGTTTTTATGAACTCTTGATGTGAATAACTTCCATCAGTCTTTCAGGCAATATCATTTCAAAATTTTCTCTTTAAACCCTAAAAATGTTTAGGATAAATAGTGACTGCCTTCTTCAGAAATAAGTTTTTTGCGGAGAAATGTTTGTCAATATTCGAAAATTCATCGACGTATTTTCTTACAACGCGGTATCACGGCAGTAATGACGTCTCGTCGGGAACACTCTCCGATCACCGCTTTCGCCCGCGCTTTTTAATCAGCAAAGAGTGACGTCATCAATTTATTATTACAAGTAAATTATGACGTCACACACGCATATCTATAGTAACAAATGACGTTATCAATGCTGCGTTCGGAGCAAACAGAGGCGTCATCAATGCTGTAACTAAAGTGAAGAACGACGTCATCAATGCATCATTGGAAAGTAAACGATGACGTCACTACTAAAAATTATTAAACATCATCGTGCGGTTACTAAAAATTATGGCTTTGTATGAGGAGATAAATTTGTACTCACCGACACAGGGTTTGGTGTGACTACAAACAATTCATGGCCTTCTTTGATTAACCGCTCAGTTAATGCCATAATCGGACGTTGATGACTAAACGACGGTGTCGGGTACAATATTAAAATTTTAAAGCTATGTGTGGCGGCTGCGAGTGTCAAAATAATAATGAGAGTCGTCAACGGCCCGTATTTACGGGGTATTATCGAACGCATCGTGCGCTAGTTGAGACAAAAAGTATTAGCTTGATTGCGCATCAAGAATGCAAGTACCTCGCTCACTTCGGTGACAACTCAACTAAAAACCGTTGTTCACTGATTTATCAACTAAAAGTTCACTTGACATAATAATTCAAGTATCAACTGGTGAAGTAAATAAGCAACTTTAAAATTTAGCTCCCGCGACCAAGATGTAAATGGTGAGCGAAGATAAAACGACTGAGTCGTAAATGAATCAACCCGAAAAATGTTCCAAAATCTATCATCTGATTATACGGACACTAATTAAAAACGATAGTCTTCCCACGTGATAAAACGAAAGGTGTTTAAATAACATTCAGTCTTATCTAGGGTGCTCGTATCGGTTTTAATACTTTGACCACGGCTGAGGAATGCAAACTTTCTCTGATTTGGCAATGCACTATGAATTTGGACATGATGATGTAATAGAATCACAGTTCTAATACGTTCCGTATACTTTCATCCTCACCTGCGTGCCGATTATTGAAATCGATAGACAAAGCAATAGACAAAGAATACGTAGGGAGTTTGGAGTATACACGTCATTCACATTTTGTTCAAAGTTTATTCTAAGATTACAAGTATAAGTAGAGTAACTGAAGACGAGTATTTTGACTTAGTGTCATAGGCATGATTTTTTATTCTGTAGGAGCAGAAATACTCATTGGTGTTTGACGCGGTTTCCAAATTTTTGAGTGCAATTTTGGAGGTGATTTCCTCTCAACTCTCTCATGATTCATCTCTGATTCATTGAAAGAATAATTCTCAAACGTAATAAATTAAGATCGTTTTAATTTTATGGACACCTTTTGAACATATTTTGATATTAAAAATGTACAAGCAGCATAAATTGCAATTAAAATACCACTACTAAAAATTAATATCACAGATAAGATGTCGAGGCAGAGATACTCAAATAGTGTTGAATGAGCGGTTGCTGGTCTTAAATGTGCAGCTCCTTTGTGCCGGGCCACGTGCTGTATCCAAAACACCGCCTTGTCCATTGACTGAGAAGTGAAATCGTGTGAGATGGCAGATAGTTTCTTCACGTTTCTCGCATAGCTGGAAGAAGAGTCAAATATTTATTCCACAGGCTTGAGTGAAGACCCTATTTTTCAAGTCATTTCAGGGGTAAGGGCATTCTGGCAAAATTGTTTTTATTTTTCCTTTCAAAATTCCATGGTAAGGAAAATTGTGGGCAATAATGACACTCCAAAATACTCGGAACTTAGAGTCGAGATTTTCGGTTCCAACTGCTGCGATTAGGCTAAACTACCGAGAGTTTGGAATTGCGTGTTAAACTGTCAAAACAACTCGGCTGAATCCAAGTTGTTTGACAAACTGAGTTGACAACTGAGCCGATTTGTTGAAAAACCTCAACTCGGAACCTGAAGATTCCAAGTTTTTCAGAGTGCGGATATTGTCGAAAATTTGTTTAAAACACTTTTCACTGAAGGTGTTCAAAAAAAGTGAAGTAAATATTGTGTCCAGCACTCAGAAACCTTACCACAAAAAATGCGACCCTGGTAAAAATTGGCGATAAGAGCTGCGTTTCAAAATACCATAGGAGTTCTTATAGCCGACTAAAAAAGGCTATAGAAAATCATATAGCTGGCTGTAGAAAGCGGAGCAAATCATATAGCCGGGCTATACGAAGCTATAAAAAAGTATACAGTCGGGCTATAGTTTCTATCGCCGGGCTTTACACTTTATCGCCATTGGCTCTAAAAGGCTATAAGAAATTGTGTAGAAATTCGTGTGCTTCGGAAATAATTAAGTTTTTTTACGGAACTACCTTTATGTTTACAAAACACACATTATATTTTCCTTTAAAACACATTTTTTTCATCCATTAAAATGAGAATAATCCACACAGAGTGTGCAAACATTTCAAAATCATGAGTTCAAAAACGCTGACTCCGCGAGGTTAAATATTAGAGCCTAACGCAAAGCGGAGCGGTGACGCACTGGCGCCTACAAACCTAACAGGGATACTTCACGCATTGTGCAATGCGTGAAGTATCCCTGTTAGGTTTGTAGGCGCCAATGCGCGTTTCGCACTCTCTGCCCGCCCGCCGCGCCGCGCCGCAGCGTGCCACGGCATCTGAAGCAACTATTTCACACCAGAGGTATTGTATAGTATCATAAGAAACCGAATGCTCTCCAACATATTAAGAATGACAGGCATGACTACGGCACAAAAAGAGAGCGGTAGTCCAAAAACTAAGTAAGTCCTAGTATCCGTATTTAGTAACGTTTAGCATAAACTTTATCGTCTGACTGTTGCTTAATCGCCATAGGCTATAAAAGGCTATAAGAAATTGTACAGTCGGCTACAGAAGCTATTGGAAATCTTACAGCCGGCCGTAGGTCAATAGTATTTTGGAACACACATTCTACTGCCAATTTTTACCAGGGGAAACCAATGACTGAATTTTTACGTGGATTATTAAAAAAACATCGGAAAAATTGTTTTTTTCTGTAGAAGGGTTTTTGTCCCTGAAAACAATTTTCTACAAGAGAAATGTAAAACATTTAATAAACGCCGTAATCATTGCGGGTTATACATATTAAACACATGATTAACTATATACGAAACTTGTTGTGGAAGAATAAAAAAAAAATATTGATTGAGGGATACATCCTATCAACATGATGATTTAAACTCAATCAATAAAACAAGTTCAGTCTATTTTGATGTTGAACCTTTCAATTATTTTCTTTCTCTTGTTTTAACATTGTAGTGTATATGTCGCAGGCAATTGGCAATCGCCGGCAATTTACAAGCCAGTGGTGAATAAATATAGAAAATCATAAAATTTAAAGATATAAGAACAACATTTTAGTGCTGATTATGTTGCTTGTAATGTGAATAGACACTTTTCCATCCTCAAAAACATGGCAGGAATGTGCACACTCAGAAGAGCGTGCAGTGAACTCCTTGACATTAGTTGGGTTGAGATCGAACAGGCAACTAAACTAACATCGTGACAAAGCGTAGAGTATCACAAAAAATGAAGGCGCTTCAAGCCGAGTTCATACTTATGAAGACTATAACCCTTAAAAATTGCATAGTGCCGATGCGCACTATTGCGATTCATTGAAACAACTTGTGAACCGCTCGCAAATTGCCGGCGATTGCTAATTGACAGCAACATATATATATTTTTTTTTAAAATACGTATCCAAGCCGACGTAAATAGCCTAGATGCTGATCGTCGTTAACTAAAACTAACTAACTAACTAACAAATACTTGCAGCATAGTAAAATAAAATTGTTGATAAAATGCTTGTCTCTTAGGATTGGTAAATACCTTAAATCCTTTTTGTGTTAACAACGTATTTCATATCAGAATGCCTTGATCTTTGGAAGAATTATTCTTTATTTCAAAGATATTCGATTCACCGACCTTTTATCATATAAAACTGTCTCAAATGCTTCCTTAATTCTCTCGAACGAATGAAGATCTTCCGGACTCAATTGGACTCCGATTTGGGCATCGACGATTTTCGCCACTTGGCAGAATTGATCCACTATCCACGGAATTCCGACCATGGGCGCTCCGAAGTGAACCGCCTCTTGGAAACTTTGGAGGCCTCCTTGAGTAACGAATAGTCTAATTTTAGGATGAGCTGTAAAAAAATTATAGTCCCAAATGATTCTTTAAACCTTTATTTATTGAATAAATAAAAACAACGATGACCAGAGGAGGAGAAAACTGCCGTGCAACGCAAAAACGCCATTTTACATTTTTTGGAAACAGTGTATCATAGCAAAAAAACTTTTGTACCTCAGGACAATGTTTTTACAGAATTATTTTGCAAATACTATCAAGAACTTAACCTGAAAATGCGGGTAAAACGGTTTTTACATGATACAATGTTAAGTTCCAAAAAACGAGGGAAAATCTTGATGGATTTACGGCGTTCTTACTTAGCACGGCAGAAAATTATAAGACGCTCTAATGCGACAAACATCATCAATACCATCATCAGACATCATTAATGGCACCCCATGAATACCATAGGTCGGTCAGATGTAGATGATAATAACTGCGGGAATTTGTATAATGCTGTAAGATAAAACTTTTCCAGTTTTGTTTCTCTTGCATAAATAAGAAGGTTCTTTTAATAATCCTTTGAACAAAATTAATGTTTCCTTTCAGAGTCAGCTGACTCTTCGTCAAATTCTCCAAAAACTATAGTCACGCCCATTCATCACACTTACGCAAAATGCAGATGTACTGTAACGATTGAAAAAGAGTCTACATTCAATTCGCTCTAGTTGATACTTTGATGAAACTATGTGTAAATTTGATTAATAAAGAATTGTCAATATTTTTTAGTTCTCATTCTTCTCCACGTTACAGTGAAGACTCATTTTCAGATGATAGACCTCACTCAAGGTCTTAAACGTAATATTCGTGTTGATCAGTTTCAAACTGACCAAAATGCGTTCATTGGGTATATTCTACGTATAAATGCAATATTATTTTACAGAAAAATGTATTTTAATATCTAATAAGACAGCTCTTACCGAGGATACTGTCCTGTGGAAGCCATTGTTGGGGCAAAATATTGTCGGATTGTCCCGGAATTTTCCCATCCAGCTCCCATTTCCACAAGACTCTGTAGCCAGGTGGCAACTCCCGGAAAAATCTCAACAGGTTGCCTCGCACATTCTCTGGCAGAGCTTTGCTCTTCATGTTGCTCCCGAGACTGAAATATATTACCCCTTCTTCCGCTCCGTCCATCCAATCCAGCAAGTTCTGCGAAAACACATACAAATGAGTTATTATAGAACTAGGTGATATGCTCTTTTGCTGCTAGAATCTTGTATGTGCCTTTATGAGTCTCAGCAAGGTTGTGGCGTACTGTTCTATATACAGATTGATCTGACAGTTAAATCGATGGAATTGGATCGATGAACAGGATACTCGTAACGAACACCTTAATAATTCCTCACCATAGCTTCGAATGGGGAAATATCGATAATCGATCATTCACGTCTCGCCACTGAGTCTCAAAGCCTTTGTCTCAGTGCATTTAGTTCCTTTTGATTGGAATAGGTCCAAATGATACGTCGTATCATTGGATACGTACGACTCGTATCATTGGATACTACTTGACTCATGTAGGTATCTGTTCATTAGCATGAGTGAGAGATACCAGTTCCTTATGAAAGAATGAACTCATTATCAATAGGAACTATATCCATTCTGACGTAAACCATGTTGTACATGTTTTTTATGGATCTCAGAGCTCATATCAGAAAGGATACACATCCTTTTCCCTTAATAGTCCAAATATGGTCCAATTTGATAAATTTGAATCAAAAGGAACTGTATTCATTGTGACATGAACCCTGTTGTGCAGGTATTTTAATGGATCTCAGAGCTCATATCAGAATGGATGTAAATCCCTCTGCCTGAATTAAGTCGAAACATAGTTAGTCCAATTTGACGTATTTCAATCAAAATGAACTGTATCCATTGTCACACCGTCATCCTCCAGTTAAAGTATCACAAGCGCCATACGATGTTTCAAAATTCCCGCCGCCATTTGAGGAAAATTGTTGGTTAAATCTGTTTGCTTTCACTGAATTTTATCGGCAGCACAAAAAATTCAATGAAATTTTTGGACGGATTCGTTGAACAATTTCTCTGTAAAAAAATGAAATGGCGACGGAAATTTAGAAACGTTGCATGGAGCTTTTGATGCTTTGGTTAGAAGAAGATAACATGAGCTACGTTCTGAATGAATTCTTATGGATCTCAGAGTTTATACCAGAATGGATGTAGATCCCTCTGCCGTCACTAAGTCCAAATATAGTCCAATTTGACGTTTTTAAATCAAAAGGAACTATATCCATCATATGACATGAGCCCCAAGATCCGTAAGAACGTATGCATGATGCATGCCAGGACTCAAGTCATCACAATACTTGATTTAGTTCCTTTTGATGTAAGTGCGTCCAATAGGCCAGTTGCGCTGGTCACATGCAGAACCGTGTTTTAATGTTTGATTCTTATACATTAGCTAAAAATAATAAGGTCCATCCAAACAGCAACTTTCTCCGTTGAATAATAACCGAGATATCGTCCTTTGAAAAGTCGGGTGATTGACGTCATCCACCGCGGTAGTGCACAGCATGGTATGTATTACCGCGGTAGTGCACAACATGGTATTTATTACCGCGGTGGATGACGTCATAGATCGAGTTTTTCACGGCGCGATATCTCGCTTAATATTCAACGTATAAAGTTGCTCTTTGGACGAATCTTATTATTTTTAGCTAACCTACAAGCATCAAGCATCAAAACACGATTCTGTGACAAGCGCAACTGACCCATTTACCTTCGGCAGCGCCTTGGGTGGTTTGAGATGCAGCGGCCCCAACTCGATGACGTTGGGCCCGAGAAGCCTCGGGTAGAAGTACAGCGAGTTGGACGCGATCAAGTTGAGACTGATGTTGGAGCAGCATCCCTCGACAAGGCTCTCGCTATCCCTCCCGAACTGGTCCCTGAAATGCCGCCGTGCGACCTCCTCCATCGTGCCCATGAGTCTGCGGACTATATAGTGGTGCGAGAACCAGTTCTCCAGGCGCTGCCACAGGGTCATCTTGTCCGTGTAGTGGTCGAATAGCGACGGCGTGAAGGACAAGTGGTACGGGGTGCCCAGGAGGGGCTCAACAAGAGGGTCCACGGACACCGTCGCCAAAGAGATGATCGGGGCAGAACGGGTCAGGAGTCGGACTATCGCGCAGAAGTACGGGGTGTCCCAGGTGTCTTGGATGGCCACGTCGAATTGGATGCTTTCGGACTCCACGCGCCTGGAAGAGAATTTAGAGTAAAGGCAAACAAACAAAGGATGAACACACAAGAAAAGAAAAACACATTAAACCTAGAGTCCAGACTCTTGAAAACATTGACAAGAAAAAATACTCTTGATTCATTCGGATTTTTGCTTGAATCGAAACGAAATCCGCTTAAATTAAGAGGCTTGGTTCTTGATTTAAGCTAGATTCTGATTGAATCAAGAGTACTTTTTCTTCTCGATGTTTTTTAGAGTCTGGACTCTAGATCCAATGTGCTTTTTCTTTTAGTACAATACAATCAATAGAGGATTTGCAGGTGTCTGAAAGTTGATGAATTTCGTGTTTAAGTGGGAACTACTGAGTGAACTGAACACGAGGATACCCTTGGTTCAAAAATTGAGCAATTATTGGAGAGGATATGACAAACTGATCAAATCTGCTAAAATACGTGTGTTTAAGTGGGAGATGCCGCCAGATGACGTCACTAGGCGGTGCATTTCCTCACTTCTAAATTTATTTTTACACTGTTTCCCATATCACAAAAAAAAATTGTAAAAAATACTGTGAAATCAGCTCCTTAAGCACTATCAGATCAAGCAATAAAAAATTAGAATGCAAATTCTCCATTTACTAATACTTAGGTGCTGATTCAAAGTACAACCTTAGAATATCTGGCGCACCAGTAAACACGCTTATGAGCATAGAAAAACTAATGGTATATATGTTGTTTTTAAACTTAGCCAGGAAATTGCAGAATGCAGTGCGATTAATGTATAGGGCGGCGGTCATTTCCGCGAGGAACTGAAAAAGGGGCTGGAAATCGGCGATCATTTCCGCAAATTATTTCATGACAATTTTTGTTACCATTTGGAGGAGTTGGCAACGTCGGCAAACCTGAAACTATCCCCTAAATAAACATTAATGTACTCACCCATTGATTCAAGAAGATTCAAGAAGAAGACTGTGATTTGAAGTAGCAAAAGAAGATACAAGAGGTCGGTTGACAAAAAGTTCCAAAACTCCACTTCATTTTGTAAAAAGTAAAAGTTCGGAACTTTTTCCCCCCCTCCCTTAAATCACGTATATGCAAATCGCAAAATTTCAAAAAACCTCTTTCTTTTTAAAAAAAAATAAAGAAACTGTCCGCACGGTAAGGATTTTTGCACATCTCAACATTTCAAAATCCACTTTAAAAAAAAACAACAAAGAAACTGTGCGCACAGTTTTTTTTTAAGATAAAATAATTATCACGTCACATTTTAAGTCGAAAACTTTAAACTTTCTTCCCGTGAAATCGGTATCCCATAAACTTCAGGTACCTCAAGCGAGCCGTTTCAGAGCCTCCTTCTAATGCTTCTTTGCATGTATTCCATGCCTGGATGGATGTTGCAAGTCGATCGGCGGTTTCTTTCCGGATAACATTTGTAGATTGCTTCTTGATTGAGTTAATTTTTGTCATTGTGAGAGCTTGCGTTTCTAGTAAAACTTGCGTGACACTATGAATTGAAGGCCGATGGTAAAAATTTTTATTGTAATTGCTGTGGAAGGATTCAGGTCCATTGGTCGTTCTTGGCCCATCAGAGGGGGGGCCTGCCCACATGCTAGGAGGAAACAGTGCCGCCTCGTCTATGTGCGATGCGACATGTGATGCGGCAAACCTCCTTCTAGATCATTCCAACAACTTAGAGTTGCCACGTTGTGCATATTCATTTTTTGCACTTGCGGAAACGATCGATGATTTCCTAGCGGAAATGATCGCCGATTTCCAGCCCCTTTTTCAGTTCCTCGCGGAAATGATCGACGCCCAATGTATAATAATAATAGACCTAGCCCAGAGAGTGGCAGGCGAGGTTTTTCAAACCATCCCAACCAATTACGCGGTATGCCATTTCATTTCGCTGAAAAGTGGAATTTCATTCTTCATAAAACTCTAAGAGTATTTTAAGGGCTGCTCATGAACTTGCAACAATAACCCGAGATTTCCGTTAGCAACTTCGGAATTGGACTGATAAACGATATTTTTTACACAATTATGATTTTATTGTTTCTATGCGTATTGTAACATATATTGGGCCCACTGCAGGAATCTTGAAGAATTTCACAAATAAGTTCATGAAATTTCACTTTATGAGGTTACATGAAATTTTATATAGCTGACCCTGAGTAAGATTTCTAAAAATAAACTTGTCTGCCGAGTGCCAGCTCGAGTTCGTCATTTAGATATGTTTTTTGACCACTTAGGGTGACCAAACGAAGGAAATGGGTTATGTTTTGAGAATGCCTGGTAAAACTACGATGCTTGTAACCATTCATACAATTATTTTCAGAATATGGCTAATATGTATCAAATTACTTACGTAAGAATGATACTTACTGTTTGAAGTTTAGGAAGTTTTCACTGCGGAGTATTTTTGTGATAGTGTTTGCCCAAAGTTCGAATTGTTGAGTCATTTTCCATTTGGTCAGCTTTTGATGGAAGTCGATAAAACCTTCTTTCTTCGGATCTTTGAAGAATTCATAAGTAAAAGAAGTGTCGACATGTGTGTAGTTAGCGTGATTTTCCAATCCCTGTACATTAAACGGAAAATGTGCTTTTTCATGCATCATCGTTCACATAAGTTCAAAAACACGCATGATGGACTGGGACGTAGTACATTCCTCAACATATTCTAATTGTTAAATGAAAAGTAACACACATTGTACTTTTCAGCGTGGAATCACTATTTCTGGCTCATTTATATTAATGCACCTACACAAGGTCATGAAACCTAGTTATGCTCTTCCCGACCCTTTCAGCTTGAACTTGGCTTCCGGCTACCGCCGGCCGCCGCTAGGGCTGTGACACGAAAATATCGACAACTTTGCAGTCTTGGCCGAAAACAATTGTGACCGCCTACCGTTGATGGAAATGTACCGTCACCTCATTAAAAGAAAAGAATTTTTGTTCTCAAAGTATTTGCTTGCACTGGTTATGTTCGTTTTTATCAACAGCAGACAATCATATTTGCTTCAGCTAAGACTGCGAAGTTGTTGAAATTCAAATTACGCGCCACATTTCTAGCGGCGGGAACCGAAAGCTGAGTCCTGGCAGATAGGGTCGGGAAGGGCATACCTACGTTGTACATATACCTTGTTATAATGACATACACATACAGGGTGTTCCAGACCACCCATACCAGGTTTTATTCTCGGTTACTTAGGTCGGATGCAGTCGTAGACAGCGGGCGACGAAGATGGAATCGACTCTACGGAATCCAAATGTCACAGCCCCAAAGCCAAACCGGTTACTTCTTAGAGGGTAAACGAAGGGTTGTGACTTTAACATTTGGGGTTTCCGTTAAAATTTTGAAAATATTCTATCAAATTTAAGGGAAAATTTTACGCGAAATTGATACCAAGAAATTCCAAATCGGCCCATTCCTGTTCAAAATATTCACTCTTAGGGTCAATATTTAAGGGGAGGAAAGATATGGCATAGTTTAGATCTACAACTATAACGTTATAGATCTTTCAGCGTGACCTCAACTTAATATTCCAGTGCAAACTGCCTGAGATGAACAACCCCCCCCCTCCTTCCCTCAGTTTTGTACTGGTACTCATTAGAGTTACAATCTTTTTACTCTAATCGTAATTTTTGGGATTTCTTGGCTTTGATTTCCCCGCGAAATTGTGTGGACCAATAAGCACCATTAATTCACTTTGTTCCTTATTGTTACTATATCCATCAAATCCAATTTAAAATCTCATTTTGGGCTCACAACTCGTCGCCTCAATGACGCAAGGGCGTATCTCAATTTCTACGTTAGCCTTGTAATCCGTATTACTTTATGCTTGCAGGAGCTCATGAGAAAATACTCATAGAAGTATGCATTTTCGTCAGAGAATTGAGCCGAGAGAATTTGAGAATTTTAGCCGATAGAAGAAGTATCCTTGCGTCTGAAGCTCTGAAAAATGAATAATCGCAATACATTACACTGAAAAAAAATTCACGGCGTTTTTACCAAGGTCCGTTGGTACCTTTACCATCTCACTTTTTTTTACTAATTTGTGGTAATTTTACCAAGACAGAGTAGTTAGCTTACCTAAAAACCGGTATTTTTACTGTTTTTTCAGGTTAAGAATACCACTTTTATTGGTAATCAATTCCCGGTAACTTTGCCATATCTCGGTAATTCTACCACAGTCGATAAAAAATATAGGCGTTTTTACCAAGCTCCAGTAAAACTACCGAGAAAGTTCAATAATTTTACCGAGATTTCTCGGTAAAATCACCAATTCCATAAATGGTAATTTTACCAAGAAAAAACTGGGATCAAATAGAACCCTGAATTCTTGGTAATTTTACCCTTTTCTTGGTAAATACACCGAGATTTTTTTTCAGTGTAGGTAGTGCTATGCCCATTAAAAACGAAATTAGAAGTCAAGTCGATCAAATGCAAAATTTGTCTCACCGGTACTGTGTTAGGATTGATTACAAACACTTCATGGCCGTCCTGAACCAGTCGCTCTATCAGTGGTAGAATAGGGCGTTGATGGCTGTACGAGGCAATAGGGAATAAAACCAAGATTTTGTAGGCGTCAGCGGTGGCTGCGAGGACCAAAATGTGGTTGATGATTCGGAAAATCATCCTCAGTGTGGATATCCTTCTTCAGATTACTGGTAATAGTTTCACGTTCACGGATCCGTTATTTGTTCACCTTCAAAGCTCAAAGGCAAAATGTAATTTTCAGTGCACAAGAGACAAAATTAAGGGCCGAAAATGATCAAAAGTGTTCTTAAGAATTTATAAAGATCTCACTCGAATTTGCAAAACATACGATATAATTAGGAAATAACACAAATAAAAACAGTATCCTTTGAAAAATCGAACTTGGATTTTTTAGGGGCCTATTAAACTTATTGGTTTGCGTAACTAAACTTTCCAGTCACAGAAATTACCTTCAAAAGCCCGTGCGCCGTGCGAATGTCTAGCTTTTAAACTTATTATAAATGAGCAAAGAGCTCATCTTAATCTGCTTTTTCATCGAAATTAAGTGTTTGTTGCTTCACTACTTTAAGTTTAGCACTTTTCTGAAGTAGATTACACTTGACGTATTGTTTCAAATCGACAAGATATTTCATCATACTGACCGACAAAATAGATTCGTTCAAGATACATTTATAAGAGGTTGCTGTCACTTTGTAGGTATATTCAACGGAGATTTACCAAAATATATTTTTAAAACTGTAATGAATATATTATAAATATTCTTGTAAAACTTTCATTAGGTGTATTATTAATCAGAGCACCTATCGATGAAATTATCTTGAAATGTTGTAAAACGTGGAACCAGCGACGAGTAAATGCGTTAGAAGCGGCAGCATCAGCGTTGGCAGTGTTGTCAGTTCATATGAGATTTTTGTGATCACAGTTCATGGTGGGAGCTCATTGTTCGTGTAAAAATGGAAATTACAACTGAATAACATCACAGAGGCTCATACTTTATTGGCATTTTCCTCTCCGGCCAGTGTCCTCTCTCTCAATTGCTCTGTAGATCTTTCTCCCCCCACAAATGCGCGTAGTGAGGAGGGAGGTATCGTAAATATTGCCTTTTTTCAAACTTGACTAATAAAACTTCAAACCCAATGTTTTGAAAAACATAACTAGGAAGGATGTTTATTGTTTAGCTTCATTGTTTCGAGGAGTTGTATGATGTCGCTACTATATACACCTTAGCCGTCAATTATACATAACTTAAATAAGTGTATCATCACCTTTGATAGAAGGGATCAATATGAACCTTTTTACTAACTAGCACTGTTTCATTTTCTGAAGTCTCTAATACTCGTATTTCAAGCATTCAATTCACGAGAATCATCAAATTACAGTGCCTCGCGTATTTGATTCTCTGCATACATTCGATTAACCATACTTCACTATTTTCAAAATCATTGACTAATAAAGCTTGTTCAAGATATGCGTTTCTTCTAATCTTGTTGGGATATATTTGAAACCAAAATATGTAAAGAACATTATCATGGTTATATTTGTGGTAAGAATACGTGTACAACAGTTTTGAAATGAGTATGTCGCAATTGTCGCAAGGATAGTATAAGCAATCCCTGACAATTTGCAATCTACGTTGAATAGAAATATGTAAAAATGCAGGAATGCAGGAACAAAATATACGTCTTGATTATTATGATTGGAATATGATAGGCTCATTCTTCATCTTGAGTTTTTAGAGTTGGCTACCACACTTGCGCCTGATGAAATCGCTGACCCTAGTCAGGTTTTGGTTTCGGATCGGCAACTAAACTAACTGGATGATGAAACAGAGTATCACAAAAAATTGGAGGCGCCTTAAGCCGAGATAATTTTTTCATGAAGTTCTTTAAACATGAAATATTTGCGATTCTTTGCAATTCAATGAGGTTTCACCTGTGCCACTTGCAAATTGCCGGCAATCGTTAAGTTGATTGTCCGCGACGCGCACATATGTTTTTTTCTTAGTACTTGAATCGTTGCGGTTCTGTTTTGCAGTAAATGTGAAAGTGAGACTGAAACACTGGTGATGAATTAATGGTTATGGTTTGCTAAGAATTCATAAAAATTTTACGCCTTTACATGTTCAAGACTTTCCTTTTTTGCAACAAAGATTAAGTTAATTGTTAAACCGAAAAAAAGGGAAGTTGATTTAACATTCTGGTTGTAAAAAAAGTGTGCGAGAACTTACAAAATGCTGAATTTACCCACTACAGCAGTTACTTTAGCAATGCCAAGATGCAAAACTATCTAATATGGCGGATAATTTAGCATTTTATAAGTTCTCGCACGCTTTTTTTACATCAAGAATGTTAAATCAACTTCACTTTTTTTTCAGTGTATCAGAGGTATATCACTCGTTTAGTTTTGTTGGTCGATATATACATAGGTTCTGATATATTTGATTGGAGTTTATGCTGCAGTGCTAAAGGAAAAACGCCTTATAAAAATTCAAGGGTTGCCGAATTTCCTTTGATAAAATGTTTATTTTTGAGGAAAGCTGTGAATATTTTTCTTGAAAGTTTCAAAAACTTCAGGTAAAATTGCGAAAAAATTATATGAAAAATTGGAAGAAAAATATTTAAATATTTTCCTGAGAATTCGTGATTTACCGAAGGAAATTTGGCACCGCCTGAAGGTTCAGACGGCGTTTTTCCTTAGCACGGCAGTATGTACGTATATTTTATTTTATCTAGAAATTGCCTCCATGATATCTTCAGAAATGTTACACTTTGAGCAATTTACAAGAATGGACTCCTTTGGTACAAGCAGTTTTATTCCTAATCATTTTTCAGTTTTTGGTGTCGTATTTTTAAAGAAATTATCCTGAATAAGTACTTAAAAACTAGGTATACGCTTATTAGAAAAAGTGAGCTTATAATTAAGATCACGGATAATATATCCAAGCAAAAATACTGGAAAAACGATGCATCGGCAGTTGACGGTCGCAAATGTGACGCTCCCCCGTGCCGGGCTACATGTCCGATCCAGAACACAGCTTCGTCCATGGAGTGTGACGAGAAATCTCTAGATATGGCTGATAATTTTTTCATGTTCCGCGAGTAACTGGAATAACAAATAAGAAGGTGTTGGGGTGTTTAATAAAACAAAAAGATCGAAAAGTTTGCCTAATTTTCGTCTGATCGACCTGTTGTCGCCCATTTAAACTAATTCAATTTTTCTCTGGAAAAAGGAGAGGGACTCTAGCAAGAGTATAGGCAGCTATGAAACTCCGAAAATCCAGCAGGCCTTCACCGATGCCTCCGCGAGCAAAGTTAGGACCGAAAAGGGCAGCCAACTTCTGATGAATTCAAATCACCCGAAGTTGCGGGCACATAGTATTGCATTTTTAAAACTTGTTGAGCGAAGAGAAAATGATAACATACAATCACGGTCTTTCCTATTTCTTGTGGAAATGTTGGCTACATTTTTGTGCCCTCCATGAAGCGAGCTGTCCAGTCCATACTCTCGCTAAACAGACACTCTACGGCAAACTACACCAGGCTTGCCCTAGGCTCCTTCAGGGCCTTCAGGGCCGTCACGTTGTTTTGGCGGATTGGCGTCGAAGAGTTAGATGGAACGATCTCACTTAAAACAATGGTCACCTGTGCCGTAGGAACGTTTGTGAAGCGGGAAATTTAAGAAAAGCATATTCCTCACGCAGATTGTTAAGTTAGGAGTGTACTTCAGACTTTTTAATGCGCTCATCGTAATTCTTGAGCAATCACCTGGAAGAAATAACTCTCCTTTTTGCTCCAGCTGAAGTTTGCAATAGGTCCATTTCACACCGGGCATATGGAAGGTCTGGTAGCAGATTCAGTATATTACGCCGTTTCACACAAAACTCAGCGAAAAATGGACCGCGTCAAGCAGAAAGGAGCAAAGCCACATCTGCTATTGTCAAATTTGACTAAATAAATTTGCTATGTACGCAGAAAATTCACTGAAATTTGCACAAAAATCCGCACAACCGTTTTCATATAAAAAATTGAATTATGCAGTTACATCTGACAATAGCTACTGCGGCTTGGTTGCTTTCTGCTTTAACGCAGTCCAAATGATCAGTAGATAGTTCTGCAAATCCAACGCGAGATATGTATCCGACAAAAAGTTAAAAAAGAAAAATCAAATGGCAGAGTCCACTTCCAACTTTCTATGAAATCCCTTTAATTCCAAAGGATTATGCTGCTGTGCTAAGGAAAAACGCCTTATGAACACTCGAGAGTTTCCGAATTTCCTTTGACAAAATCTCAATTTTTGAGGAAAGCTATGAACATTTTTCCTTGAAGCCTTCAGGAATTTTAGATGAAATTGCGAACAAAATTATGTGAAAAATTGGAAGAAAAATATCGACAACCTTTCCTGAGAATTCGGGATTTACCGGAGGAAATTTGGCAACGCCTGAAGTTTCATACGGTGTTCTTCCTTAGCACGACAGTATGGTCCGCTCACCTTTCATCAAACAACACTTTTTCGAGAGCTGCTTTAATTTTATCGTACGAGTGCAGATCTTGCGGCAGTAACTGCACTCCAACTTTGGCATCCACCATCTTCGAAACTTGGCATTCCTGGTCTCCAAACCATGGAATTCCTACCGTGGGCACTCCGTAGTGTACAGCCTCTTGAAAACTTTGAAGCCCTTCTTGCGTTATAAAGACTCTAACTTTTGGATGAGCTGCCGAAAATAAAGAAAAGCCTTTATGAGCTTTTTGATCAAACCAAGTTTTTTCTGTTGCTCGTTTGCCACTGACGTGGCGTGAATGATCGATTATCGATATTCCCCCGTTTGAAACTAAGGTAAAGAATCGATTATTAAGGTGTTCATGGCGAACACCCTGTCAATTTTTTTAGGGGAGCATTTTAGGCAATAATTATTGTGCCTCTATAAATTTACGTGTAATGTAGCTGCTACTGGGCAGATTATAGTGTCCCATTTTTCATGAACTAATAGCATGATGCAATTCGTTTTAGCGGCTCTGGTGCTTGCACTAGAGCTGCTATTCCGGACGGTCCCAGCTGGGGAGTATCAACGGACCATGTTACATTGGAGAGACCGCGTGTTGGTTGATGGGAATCGGCGCCATTTTCTGCTGTTTAGGGGGGACTGATTTTATTTTAATTGATACCTTTTTCCTGTGAGCGAATGCTATGTTGTGTAGTGTATTTTTGGAATCATGGTGATACTGTCAATAATTCAAAACGGGTCTGTGCTTTAATCTCGCACTGGAAAAAATGTACTTTACGTTTAAAATTTGAAAATTCAAATCTATAAGTTTTTGCGCTTTTTTCGAAGAATGCCGTGGTTGGAGCTTCCTAGTCATACTACTCGACATCAGCTGATAGCAAACAAAGGTTACCAAGGAAACCGTAAACGCGTAACAATTACCTACCGTCGCCAGAGCCGCTTTCCGACGCGAATGCGTTGGAGCTTCCTGCTTGTTCAAAAGTATAGTTGAAGCGTTTACAAGGGCTCACACAATTTCTCGATGAGACTGTGATCGTGTAATTTCACGTGTAGGTTTAAACATTTTTCAAATCAGAACTCAATCTTTCAATGAGTCTATAACAT